GTAGGAGTCGTGGTAGTGGTAGTGGTAGCGGTAGCGGTAGCAGCAGTAGTAGTCGTAGCAGCAGCAGTAGTAGCCACCCTAAACCCTGCGTCTTTTCGGCTTCATGCTCGAAGCAGGTGCAACGCCTCCCGGGCACGTTCGCCTACAACCAAGTCTTCAGCTGCTAGACGAAGATCTTTCGGTAATGGCATCCCAACTGATGCCGTTCATTGCAGGTCTCTGGGTTGGGGCTTAGGATTTCCGCCAAGATCCCTGGAATGGGACAATGTGCTTTCGAGACGGCAGTACGGAACAAAAGACCAGAGCCAGAGATCTTCGTCGACATGATGGGGACTCCGATGGTTTTGGCCAGAGTCTTGGGGCACTAGCGCAGCCTGAACGAGGAGATTGGCGTAATGGGCAGGACTTGTGCTTGTAACTTTCTACCTCGAGCTTCGTTTCTGAGAAACGAAGCACTACCTGTCTGATCGCTCAGAAACACATTTGACATGATCATCGCATGCTGTGTGGACCAAGAAGCAATGGCACAAAGGCACAGCATGTTTCCAGATCCGTGCCCCGCATAAACAATGTTTTCAAGGAGCAGGGACTTTGAAGCCCATCTGCACGAAACGGACAACATGGATATATCCTAACGAGCAACCGCATAATGGTTTCGGGCTATGGCTCGTGATCAAGCATGACAACACCACTTCAAAGGGGAACCAGATTCCTGGTGCGGGTGTCATTGCACATGTACAGGGCAGGGTTCACGAAACCCTAAGGTCTTAAATGTGTTCCAAACGGTCAAGACTCAAGCGCCAGACCCCAAACCTTCTACTGGACCACTGGACCACTCTGAATTGCTGAGGCTTACTTTGCGGCGCGGGCATCTTGAACAAGCATGATGTCGCCTGCCTGCTTTTTCAACAGCAACTGTCGACTGTCGAGCAGCATTACTGCTTCTATAGTACCCAACAATCATTTTGGGAATGACGGTTATTCGTGCTTCTTGTAGCTTCTTCTAGATTTAGCCACCGAAGTCGGCTTTGGAGGATGTTGTTACTAGCCATTGAGTTTAGCTTTTTAGCCATAATAGCGCCGACAAGCTATTCTGAAGCAAGAGAGGCAGTAGGACCTCAGAAGGAAGCCTAGCAGCAACAACTGTGGTCAAATTAGGAGCACACGGCTACAACGCAAGAAGACGGTCGCAGCCGTACCCTTAACCCTGAAGCCCGAGCCGCTGCAAGGTTTGGTCATACTTTGTGGATACCACCAGAGCCGTGGAGTCGAGTGGGATGGGCGGCCCGGGCTGCGGTTGAGAGTATGGAAGGTTGGGGAAGGATTACCGTGTTTTGCTATTCTTGCAATCATGATTGTCGTCTGCTCTTAATGCACCTATCATGACTGGTTTCGCCAGTGATCTAGCGATGGTTTTGGCTTGGAACTGACGACTGCGTGTTCTCTTTTGGACCGTGAAGTTGGGTTCAGGACTTCTGCAAGCCTGTCGCGTGCATGGCCTAGGAGATTTCTGCCGGCGCTGGCGGAGCGCCAAGCAGGAGAAGACACTGCCTCAAGTGTTCTCGCCTTCTTCGGTTGCTGCCAGTCGCCAGTCCATGCCAGTCTTGCGGTGGTTGTGCACCGTCCTGTGTCAGTTCATACCTTGGTGCCCGAAGTGCTAACCATTTGCTCGCTTGCACCGGTAAGCTTGCATGTCCCCAATCAATGAAGACATCACACGCAGGAGGAACTGAAAGTCTTCCTTCCCGGGAGTTTCCTTGGCCTTGTGATGGCACTAAAGTGTCCTACTGTCAGTGTATATAGAACTTATCTAAGGATTCGGTTGCAGGATTTGGGGTTGTGCGCTTTCATGCTCGGGGTTCATTAAGGCCTTTCCACGCGGCAGCTGTCAGAAATGTCCCGAAGTGCAAGAGGAGAGTGGGCCATTTGTTCCGACGACACTCGAGCTGAGCCGCTCGGCGCATTGATGCCGGGCTTGTCTAGACGTTGAAGGATTGAGATGTGTGTCGCACATTTCTGACTGGAAGATGGTTTTCCTCGTGAGCTTACTGTCTCGTGTAATCAGTCAAAATTTCTGCTGAGTCCTGCACCCCTACACCAGACCGTATCCTAAAACCGTAGCCGAAGCTTTTGGCTCCTTCGGATGATGGACTATTGAGCCCAGGAGAGTTCAGAGGTCACCTCCTTTGACTGCCCACAAAGCTATTTTTTGGGTACATGGCTGCCCTTCATCCACATCTCAACCTTCAGGACCGAGATATGAACGGAGCTTTAGTTTTGATCAAAGGTGAGATGCCTGCTATCAGCACAGACAGTCACTCGGTAGGGATTAGGTTCAAGGTTAGCTCGCAGCTCGCTTCACAGCTAGAAGGTGGATGGGTGCCAGCCCAGGAGCTGAGTGTGGCTCGTCTCGGGAATGGACTCATCTGAGGCTCTTTTTTGTTCGGGACTTCGGGGTTTGGCCCCAAGTCCGAGGATGGTGGTAGAGTGCTTCAGGATACATTCCTGAATTCCCCGACTTGTGGCTTGTGGTTGCAAGGAAATGATTTCGATCCATGGATGTCGTAAACACAGGTGTCCGTATCACCAGGTCCCACCGCAGTTTAGGTTTCGGCCGTTGGGGCTTTTAGGGCTGAGGCATTGCTTTTTCATTGGAGGCCCTGCAAGCAGAGTTGGGCTACCAACATTTTGGCTTCCGAACTTAATTTATCGCACTGCAATGCTGCTGCCTAAGGGGTCGAAGGGCTAAGGTGCATGTATCTTTGAGGGCGAGGATCCTTGCCACTGCAACCCCGATGCACCTCCCCGGTGTATGCTGAGTCTATGTGACGGCTCCACGGAACACTGAATTTCAGGAAACTGCTGAGGATTCAGATTCTGAGTCGGGAGACAAACAAACGGGAAAATCAGAGAACCTGAGGTCGTTGGACCCGTCGTTTGGTGCCGCGTAGTAAAGGCAAACGACTTCGCAGCGCACTTATAGAAGTGCTGTACATGTAGTGTCGTTCGGTTCGGACTTGACACGTAGCACTTCCCCACAACATCGAACGCCAAGAAGGGCCCCTCCACTTCCCACACTTGTAGACTTATACTCACTGGAGATAATGAAACATCGAGACTGAGGTGGTGATTCCGTGCACGCTCCGAGATGCCAAGAGAAAGTTTGCCTTGCGCGACCTGCTTGAAACCGCCCCTTGGATCCAATACAACCAAAGTTCGAAATGGAGGTTTTGGGCTGGAGGTCGACGCGCGTGCCGGGGATGTGCAGGACGTGTAGGAATGTTAACTCTCAATATTGACCTACCTTCTCAGTCGTCGCTGCGCCTTAGTCTCAACCGAGCCTGAACCGGAGTACGGGCACTCGGTAGGTGAACGAAGCCGCATTAGATCCAAGAAATGAATCCCCAACCCCTAGCCAAAACCTAGCTTTGGTGAACGCATCTGGCTACATCCTTGAGCCTGTTCTGATGCAGATGGGCGAAGCCAGATGTGTTGGTTTGGGTTGAAGGGATTGAGCAGGAGGCTGGTCTGTCCCTCTCAAGACAAAAATTAAAGTCGGACAAAGCTCGATGGATGATCGGTGCCGACAAGCTTCCGAGGTGCTGGAGCAAACACTTCACCCTTTGGAGGCCGGTTTTCCTATCGGAATCCGCCAGATCCCAGACACCAACCATGCTAGTACTTATGTAAGAGTATGTACCGGCTCCTTGATTGCTTGCGTCTTCGGCTCTGCAAGCTTCAAAGTGCCCCTTGCAAAAGACCGTGCATGTTACAAATGCGGGTAGTGGCCTCTACACTGCAAAGAATTTCCTCTAGAACGAGGCGAAGCATCACCTGCGACAATCGTTACAGCGAGAATCGCTCAGGAAGGTCTTGTCGTATGCCAGTACGGCAGTATGTCGATGAATGTGTCTGGCTGCAGCTTTCAGTCTGCTTTCTGCACACCTGCACTCTTCCAGAGTGCATCGAGTGGCAGAGATACTCAGTACATGTTGTCGTATGAAAGCGACTCATGCCGGTGCGGTTCTCTTTCAGCTGCAAGTTTCTGCACAGCGTCGCCGACATCTTGTGAATTCGTGTGCGGCTCTATGCAATAAATACAGAGTAGCACGGAATGCTGCATTTTGCTTGCGTGTGTCGGTCTAAATGACAAGCGAATGCCCAGCACAGCGTTCCGACAAGCTTTGAATGAAACTTTCGCCGCGGCGTGGAGCCCGGCAGGTGGTTCTTGCTCTCTCCGATGCCTCCACGGCAGAGGCCGGGACACGACGGTGAGATCGTCTGCACATTCTGCAGGCCGACGAGGTACTCATGCAAATATGCATATGAAACGGTACTAGTTTCTACTCATCTGAATCGGAGTTCCCCTGAGATGTTGAGATGCGTCAGCAAGATTTGGCAATTGAGCGATGTGCAGAATTCATGATTGCTCCTGCGCAAGTACTGTGATTGTCAGTTTGAGTTGAGCATTGTGAGCAGGTTGTTCCAGACTGCTCGGCTTGGCTGTTACAAGTGGTTTCTTGTGGCAACAGCACTTCTTCGCGGTAGAGCAGAACAATCGCGTTCAGAACAGGGGTGATGTCGTCCTCTCCAGTAATCTCGCCTGCACGAAAGTTATGTGCGTGTGTATGTGAGGTGCCTTTGCTCAGCTTTCCTGCCTGCTCTTGTCTGATCGGATTGGGCAGAAAGTTCTGGATGCATAGAATAGCAACAGCAACATGGCAATGATCGTCGTCACCATTACTAGGAATAGGAAGGGTGTTAATACATACATGTTCAGTAGGCCGTGGTCAGTAAGCCACGGGCAGTGTCAGCATCACCGGCAATTGAGCGCTGTATTCAGCTGCGGTCATAGGCGCGGCAGTCGTGCTGAATGAGCATCGGTAGTAGGCATCCTCGTAAATACTTGTCGTGGCGGTACTAAAAGCACCGGTGCTAATATGAGCCAAAACTCAATTGCATGAGCGGTAGGCAAAACCACCAACACCAGGTTGCAGTCATGGTTTTGTTGAGGACTGTTCCGTGCAACTTGCTCCGGATGGCTGCTACTACTACTACTACTACTACTACTACTACGACTGCTGGTGAGCATGAGCTCTGCTGCGTTTGTTTGCACTTGCTAGCCGGGAGTATGCCATCCATCGTTTTGTGTTAATGTCTTTTGCGCCGACTTTCTAGTGCTACCCGCACACTTAACACTTAACGAGGAACGCCTAAACTGGCTAGTGTTGTTCGGCTGGCAGGCAACAGCACTGGAAAGGAAGCTCACCCGAGTTCTTGCTACTCGATCATGCACTGGAGCTTTCTCCTGGGGCTCGTTACGCTTCTATGGCAGAATTCCTGAGAGTCAATTGATTTTTTCGAAGATTGGGGCTTAGGTTTCCTGTTGCATGGTTGCGGTTGCCGTGCAAGACCAGGCGTTTGTCCGGCGAGTCATTTTCAGTGTCACTGAGGTATGGAGATGAGTTTCAGACAAAATACGGTACACTTTGGAAAGGTGCTTCGAAACCCTTGGACTGGAGTGGAGAGTCATGTTGTCCCATGGGCCCTTAGTGACATTAGGAAGCTCTCCAGGCAGCCGGAGCCCCCGGTGACCAGCTGTTGAGGCAGTGCGGTTGGTAGCGTGACCAAAAACCTGCTCCATTCGAGACCAGTCCCGAAATACTACGAGCGGCCTCTAGCGCGCAACCCGACTTAAAGAGACTCCTAGACACTGACGTGAGGGCTCGATCCCCTTGATTGTGGATGCGGTGGAGGGCTGCTTGGTTCGCACAGAGCTCGTCGTCGGGTAGAGCGGCTGCAGAACTGAACATCTCTGCACGTTTCAAAAAAGTGTTACGAGTAGTCTACCTTAGCAGTGTGGCTGCTCAGGGACTGCAAGTATGTGTATCGAGATTTCATTCTCGTGTTCTGGAACATCGGTTGAGCATGTCCATCTGCAACTTGCTACAGCCTCGGGTTCGAGAACAAAGTCCGTGCAGTTTCGGGCTTGTTCCATGGCGCCTGAGATTCTCGGTGTTTACATAGCTCTATGTAGAATCACTAACACTCAAATCCCCATCTGATCTCCGACCATAAGTGCCCCTTTGGGGCAAGCAGGATTTAAGAACATCCATGCTTGTGATAATCATGCCAAGTCTGAAAGCCGTGCCTGAAAGGCGCACAGCCCCAACACACAGCTGGGAAGCAGGAGCTCACCTTGTTGAGGTTCTGCAAGCGCTGCAGAGAACAGAGATCGAGGCCTGAGAAGAGCTCGAGGCAAGCTTGAGACTTGAGATGCGTTGATAGACAACAGAAAACCGCACACCGCGCATCAGCCTTGAGTTAAGGTGTCCGGTAGAAAGCGGGCCACGGCGTTATCGGCATAGGCTGCAACTCCCTAGAGCCGGGAGTCGAGGAACGGACATCGAAAGCGCCCCCTGCAAGCAGCTCTCCTGCCCCGAAGCTGGCAGACACTGGCGGCATGCAGGGGACATCCTGTCTGTGTTCGATGCGGACGACCTCATGCATCCGCAGCGGATAGAGCTCATCAGCACCCTGGCCGCTTCAATCAAGTTGGTAGTCAAATCCTGCTTGACTTGAAGCGACAGGCCACCAACGGCAGTTGGGGAGAGCTTCCAAGCTCGATCGAAGCATATTCGGAGAGCCTCTAATGCTCTAGAGTCTCGGCAGTGCCGTGGTGACACAAGTTTCCGGCAGAAACGCTTCAATGCATCCTTGCTTGAAGTGTTTCAGGGTGCTTATCTCGATTCATGCGGGCCTCCTTGCAAATTTCGGTGCCGTATCTGAACCCGTAAACTGTGATGCAGAAGTCTTAGCTGAGCTTGGCTCAACGGTCGGTTTTGAGCCAGGCAAGGCCTTCTTCTCTACGCCGGGCCTCAAGATGTTGCTGCACAGCCCCTCGCTGAACTGTGCGGCTTAAGGGCAATCTCGGAGCCGCAACTAATGGTTAAGAGCATTGCTGTGGCAGCTAGCAAGGGCCTCACCAGCAACCACTAGCAATGCGTTCTGTGCCAATACTATCCACACGACACGATGCGTCTTTGTGAGCTTTGTTTGCTCGTATGTTGTTCCGCTGAGTTTGTGAAGGTGTTAGGTTCAGATGCTCATGATCATAATTTGAACGCTGCGCGTCGTCCGCCTCGGCCCGGCTGTACCTGAAGCAGGTGCATTATTTCGGAAAGCAGCGGTGGTCATACAGGTGAGGTCTTGAGTGAATTGCTTCAAAATGTTTTTTATTCATAGCCTTCTTTCTGCTTCACATTGGCTTCTGCTTCATTTGTGGGTTCTGCTTCAGGGCTTCCACTCTTGCAGACGGACACTAATTGCTTCCGGTTCGCTTCAGGGTGACCGGCAAAGCTTACAATTAAGTGTATGCGGCATATGTAGTTCGTGCTATGGCTCTTTATTTCGGCAGCCGTAGTTAATGAAGACTACCTTAATCGCAAGCCGTTGATTATACGACACACGTGGTCTCTTGTCTGCGACAGCTTCGGAAGCCCAACACCGACGTCATGTAGTATGTCTGCATCATGCTCCACTCTGCCGGCTTCAATTCGGTGATGTCCTCTTGCTTCGTCCAGCAGTGTCTTCGCCAGTTCGGGGTTGTACTGTAGCTGGTAGCACAGGATCTACATCACAATCAGAGGCAGGACACAAGCTACGAAGTTTAGAATCCGTACTTGAAGAAGTGCGTCTAAAGATAATATGTTGGAATCGAGTGCCCCTCTGATGAAACCGCCGTTCTCAGGCATCTGCTCACCTCTACGCATATTGTCATCCGCCGGCTGCACGAGCTTCTTTAACCGCTCTCGCAGCGGCTGCCTTGCCTGTGCATCAGGGTCCTCAGATATCCGAGGATCCTTGCTTTGCACTGAAGCAGAACCATCTTTGAAGCAGAACCATGGCTCCCACTCTGCGAACTCCTTCATCTTGGAAGGCAGCCATGCCTCCATCCTGGAGCGGTGGTCGTAAATACATGGTTCCACCAAGTGCGGGCGGACAGACACGATTCTGACTCAGCGTGTCCAGGCGGGCACGAGAATGTTTCTGTAATGAAACAGAACTATTTGAACGAGGACAGTGCAATCGAAACAGAATCATCTAAGTGCAGCGTTTCCTTGGGGCATTTCCAATTTTTGTTGTTTCTAAAGGATTTGCAACTACATGGTCCTGCTTCATTCTGCTTCTGTTTTGAAGCAGAACTCAGTATTTGAAACAGAACCATGATTCCAATCTCGCGGAAGCAGAACCTGCTTCTAAATCTCCATGCAGAACCTTCGCAGGAGCTTAAAGCCTCGGGGTCCCAGCAAGTGCCTTCTAAATCGTCTTTGAGCAGACACGGCCAAAACCCGGGGCCCGTGGCCTCAACCGAGGGCCGGCAACAGCAGGCCGGAGGGAGTCCGGCAAGAAGGCTATGCCTGCAGCACTACAATAGGAGACATCACCCAGTATAGGGCTTAGTCAGTGAAGGAATCCCAGCACGAAAAGCTCCAATCGCGGTCTCCAACTTTGCTCCAACAAGGCCCACATTGAGAGCAAAGGCCGCGGGATCCATGGCGAAAGCACCTCCTGTTGGCCTCTTCAAGTTCTGTTGTTATGAATGCTTCGGAGTGCATGATGATTATGACGACGACGATGATGATGACGGTTGCTGCTTCTACAATTGTGTATCCAGTGCTTGAGATCTCATGGTCCAGCACATGGTCTTGGCGAATGCTGTGTGAAATAACATTACCATATCACCACACAGTTGTGGGTAATACTTGAATGTTACGCCTACTACCGCTAACAACAGTAATTCGTGCCTCAATTGTTTCCAAACAAACCGAAATGGAAAAAGGATACTGGCACATGACTGCCAAGCAAAGCAAATACAACAACGAAGCAGAACCATCTATCTTACAGGGTGGATGATCGAAGCAGAACAGATACGGACGCTTATGATAGATGTCAGTAGTTGTTGTCATGCTGCTGAGGTTCTGAGCAATAATCCCGCGGGAAAGGTGGCAAATTCCCTGCATGATCCCACTACTAAAATAGTCATATCACGCGTCTCACTGGTCTAGTATACAACCTCCCATATGTTGGAAGCGGAATTAAAGCTTCGCAACGAAGTACAAGATACAACCCCAAAATTCCCAGGCTATCAGCTTCGCGATGATGTAAGCTAGCCCGTCTTGCCTCGCCACAAGGAAGAGACGGGGGGGAAAGGGCGGAGGGGGTGAAGGCCCACCTTGCGCCAGCAGAATCTGTGGACGTAGGGGATCGTAGGGGTTGCCAACCCTGAAAGCAAGTTTTAGGGGCAGCTGGTTCAGGGAATAATTAACAGGTGGGGAAACAAGGAATTCCTGTCGGAACCTCTGACCGCTTCGGCCGGGGCCGAGGCGAATATAGAAATGGAGGTGCCTGTTACAGCAGCACCGACTGTGAAGACAATGCGACTGCCCATGCGTTTGTGTGTGTGGATCGGCATGCTCATGAAATAGTGAGTATCAAATGAGCCTGATGAGATGGTGCCAAGACCAAGTACCAATCCTAGGATCCTTGCTCTGGCCTGTTGACCCATTGTTCACTTCTGCTTGGAACATCGAAACTGTATGAGGGCTTCAGTGAAAAAACAGCCTGTTGTAATGGCAGCTGTTTTGACATGATGGCAGTACTGGCAGTTTGCATAGACAAAACCTAGCAGCAAACATGCCGTCAACAAAAACATCGTCGGAGGTTACTACCCACTCTTCAACAACAGCCAGATTCGGACCTGTGTGCGGTACGACCTCACTGACCGTTTGCGTGTGCTGCTTGGCAGATCGATTGTCTATGTCCCGCAGTGAGGGCCAGATGGGGAGCATCAAGACAAGACATGTCCTTGAGCGAGCTTTAATGACGCTCAAGAGTAGGTGTCATCTAATGAATCTAGCCCCACCGCTCCACCCCTTGGGTGGAGCCCTCGCACATAACAGTGGGCTTGTATGGACGTTGAGTGAACTTCATGCCGCAGAAGAAGCCAACTTTGCTCGCTTCCGGGTGCTGTAGAAATGCATGTAGATCCGTCAGAGCCACTCGATTCAATTGGTGCAGGTTGCCCAGCAGAGACTTGCTGATGATGGACCAGGTGAGCCAGGCCGCATCCCAAGCTGATTTCATGTCTTCATAACACCGTTCGACCAAGGAGGTCTAGACAATCTAAGCAGAGCAACGACAGAGGCAAGACCATCACAAATGCGATGTCAAAGCAACAGCACAAAGACTAGCAAGTAGAGACATTATGACATCGTAGTGACACTGGTGCCAACGTTCAGAGATCAACCATTGTACAACCGGTGTACTTTGTTCATCAAAGTTCTAGCGAGGACGGTGGTGCAGGGTGGAACACAGCGGCAGTATTCAGACGGTGTCAATCCGTAAGTACAGCCGCACAACTAGCGATAGCCGCAAGAACGAGGGCAGCACCTTTTTGGAGTCGTAGGCCGTGCACATGCACGACATGGTCCACGAGATCTTCAACTCGGGGGCTGCTATGCGCCGGGAGGCAGCCTGAGCTTCTTCGCTTTGGGAGGGTTTGGGGAGGGCTTGCCACGTTCTGGGCCTTCAGAGTTTAGGGTGCGGTGGTTGGGGTTTTGCCGGTCTTGATTTGTCTGGCTTGCGTTTCAGCTTTCAGAGCTCGGGGTCTTGATTTTGAGGTCCGAAATGTAGGGTCTCGAGGTTGTGTGGGGCTCTCGAAACTCGGTTTGGGAGCATTGCAGCATGCTGTTCGAGACCCGAAGATGAGGGAATCAACAAATCCTAGGGGAAATGTTCACCTTGCTGATTCGTGTATTATTAATTCAAATTTTGCAATGCATTTCGGACTTGATATATGACCATTTTGATACGCTTCCCGCTTGCTACATAGTGGCCACAGGTTGTGGAGCAGTACACGTACAACGCCACACCCGAGGCGGCTACAAGGGAGGCCCTCTGGCTGAGATCATCATTATATATATATACATATATATATATATAGTTGTCGTGACTCGCGAGTTCACTTGGGTTGAGGAGTAAGGTATGTCACACTGGACTACAATAGAAGACAACGATGCCACTGTTGCAATCAAAATGGCAGCCTTTATTCTGTTAGCAAGGTAATTAATTGACGTTGACAGAACTTATGAGACCTGCACCCTGAGACGTTGTAAGCATTGCTTGAGTGTGCAGTGTGCCGCCTTCTGATGTCTGATATTGTGCTGCTAGTCCCGGTCCTCTCTAAGCCTGGCCCCTAGGCAGCCTTGCCAGAGTCTTGCCAGTAATGTGCTTCACTCGGCAGCTTCCGGCTTCTTCTCGGAAGGACGACTCCGGCTTCACGCGGGCAGTTGTTCGAGGCGAGATGTGGCGGGAAGCCGAGCACTCGTTCTTTGGTTCGGCTTCCTCACAGTGTCAAGCGTTCACTCTGATCCAGTACTCCAGGGTGGATATTTATATACTTGAGGCAGAGAGCTTGTGTCATGCGGGTCCGATGGGGCTTTCAGTCTGTAGCCCTTTGTGCAGCTACAGTGCCGCCTTGTGCGAAGCTGGGGAGGCATCGTGATACACAACATGCCCCTTTGCGGCTTCTAACGCAACCGTGCTTCACATCAAAGTTTTCTGTCTTTTGGACACACCAAAACCTGAAACCCAAACCCTCAACCTAACCCCCAGCCAATCCAACGCGAAGCTCAAAGCCAGAAGCCCTCAGCATGCATTTAAGACGCTGGGTCTTTGCCGCCTCGCCCTGAAGTCTGGCAACCCCTCCCAAACCCGACACGACTCTTTGGGAGGCTACGGTGTGAAAGACCTGGCTATGGAGGAGGGCGAGTGGGCACTGCCAGCTGGCTGCGTCTGGTTCGGTTTGTTGAGTGTTGCTCGAAACACCTGGGAACCAAAAGAGTAGCTCTTCGACCGCCACTTCGAGACGCCTACGGCTGTCATCACCACCGTCGTTTTCATCATATTATGCATCTTCGTTAGCTGGCCATGTTCTACGTTCCCGTTTGTCTTCAGAAATCGTCACGTCATGTGTGTGTTGTTATGTTTTAACTTTCATCTTCTTCGTCGTCACCATCGACATCACGGTCATCATCGTCTTCGCCGAAGCTGCAGAAGCATCGTGCGCTTACTCATCGTTGTGTGCTTCCAACAAGAAATGACTAATTCGTTCACGAGGTCGTTTGCTTATTGTCCTGCTGAAGGCTAGACAAGTGTAACCTGTGCAATGATCGGTTCTTCAGCCTCGACTCGTAAGTCAGACTAAGACGACCGCGTATCTCTAAGAGCCAGATTGACTTGCGGCTCGTTTTCCTCGGTTGACAAATAGGAGGTATTGAAGCAAGTGCTCGATTCCGCAAACGATCAACGATTCATTACGGTGTATAGACCTCTGAAGCCCCTTTTGCCGATTGTCCTGCGCTACGCGTGCATCAAGACAAATCTCACGGAGTCTCCGTAGCTTCATCGTGCATGACCGAGAGCATGCTACGCGTGATGTGGTATCTTTTCCTTTGCAGCTCCAATATGATATCATCTCGCTTCCGTGTTTTTTGAAGTCATGGGGTTGGAAGTTTTCTGCATTTGTTGTTTGGGCTTTTAGGGATCATGTCACTCTGTGTAGCACTGAGGTATCTGGATGCCGAGCTTGCCTGGTTTCGCCGCACCGGCTTGCCGAAAAAGGAAGTCGGTCCAGTACTGCGGGTGAGACATGGTTTTGACCGGTTGAGGAATGGAAAGACAGAGTCTCAATCCTAGAAGGGGAACAGATGCTCAACTTCCAGACAAAACGTCGGACTTCCGGCTCAGGGATTAAAGGGGAGCGAGGGGTTTCCGGACCCGATTTCTGGCTTCGGCACTCGTTCAATCGGGCCAAGAATGCTGCAGATAGATCGCACAAGAATGACAGCCCCTCAAAAACCCCGCAGCCTTCGGGCGACCTTCCGAAGATGCAAAGATGTCCCTGCTGGCCTGTGCTGTTGTGCTGTGCCTCTCCGGGCGCCGAGTGTCCGAGGTGCTGGGCTCGAGCCACGGCACCTGCTCCTCAGCTGGGACCCTACTGTAGCACTAAGTCACGAAGGGCCGCTTAGGCCGCTTTGTTAGGGCTTCACAAGAAGTGCTCCATGCCGGGAGAGAAGTTGGGCTGCGCGTTTTGTAGCTTCGGTCTGAATGTTGGGGCTCGGGATGGTGCAGGATTGTACAGGGCCGTCTGCACAAGGGGAATGCGAGCTTAGGCTTGCGGCTTTGTTTTGTTATTCACAAGCTTTCGTGGTGATCTTGTTGAAGCACTTGAGTGACTTCGTGACGGTGGTGATGACGAAACCAGGAGAGCAAAGACGACGGCCTCGGGTTTGCATGTGCTGAAAGAGCTGGCGGACACCGCAACTCCAAGCTGTCATGCTCTTCCCTAATACCTCTAATTCGCGAGCACTTGAAGCACCGCAATCCTAGAGCAAATTGGAGCCTCCAGAAGCGTTTCATCAGCTCAAGGTGATGAGTACCTGACTGCCTTGCTCCGCATAGGGCGCTTGATGGAGCTTGTGGGGGTCTCAGGCCTTCAGCTCCTTCTTTGTACATTGCCAGCTTTTGTAGTTGAACGGCTATGACATGGGAGTACTGTGCTACAGGAAGCAACTCAGCATGCGCTCGAAGTGTCCGTCGCTGAGGTGTCCAGTCCATCCAGATGTAAGGCTGACTGGCGGTCCCGACTTGCACATGCACTTTGAGGGCTTGGCCTTGGGCTTCGGGGATAAATAAAGCAGCCACCCAATGCCGGTGGAGTTCGTGTGTCTATCATGGCGAACACTGCCATCCTTGATCCTGTGGCCCGACCTAGGCGTCTGAAGCTTCGTGGTCGTACGAATTCGGTGTTTGAGTGCGCTTCTTCACGCAACACCAAAAGCAGAACCCCTCCCCCCCACTTTGATCCTTTGCCGTATGGCCTGGTTGGGCGGCAGGCCCATTATGTTCATGCTTTACCATGCTTGGGTTCGATATCCATGTATTGTCTAGTTAAAGACGGCTAAGCCCTTGTTCTATGATCTCGTACGAACCGGTTTCCGAGCCTTGTAACACCGCTGAACATGCAGCACAAAGAGAGAAGTTTCGAAGTGGACCAGGAGTGCCTGCTTCGGCGGCAGGTATGGGATCGTTCTGGTGGAAAGACTCTGCTTTTCGCGCCTTCGGTGGCGGTGGCGATCTCACTCCTGCGAGGCCCGTACCCCCAGATTTTTTCGAGTTTGCCTGTTGTGAAGCTGAGGGGGGTTCAAGTTTTTAGGTGGAAGAGGAGTAAAGGGACCAGTTTTTGGTAGTATGGGTGTGAGTTTGACCTGAAGTTCGCATTGCTGTTCTGGGGTCTGGGTTACATACGGAGCAAGTTTTCGAGTTGTAGTGCAAGTCGATAACGGGCTCAGAGCTCCGGACTCGGGCCGAATGTGTCAATGGGCAAAAACCCTTAGATTCAGATCCTCCACCGTAAACTTATGACTTGAAATGTTGGTCAACAATTTGTCTTCCTGACTGTTTGTTTTTATTAATTCAATATGATTTCAATATGGTCGGCCATTTATGAAACTGGAAATGGGCTCCTGGCAGACTATGATTTCACAATGATTTCCCTGGTCTTACATTGTAATGTATTCTATTATTGGAGCAGAGAGTCGCAAGGTGTTCCCAGTTGATCCGATAATCTATCTTGTCATGTACTCTCGGGGTTTTATGTTGTGAGCTCCAATTTGACATTAATGGTAAGATCAGGGATTGTCGCTGAGCTCAGATCGTACATCGCATCTTGATTTGTGGGCCTTTGGCTCCATGTAGCATAAAGAATTCGGAAACACCCAAACCCCTGAAACCACCTAACCTTGCAATCTGAGGCTCTGAAAAATAGGTGTTGGCAAACACTCACTCTTCAGCCCAAACGCTCACTCTTGCCGCAGGAAGTGAGTGCGTCTGTTTATTTACAGAGGTCTCCCTATCCAGGTATTAATATACTATATTATAAACGTAATTATAGTAGTTTGATTGGGGTTCCTTAGTTGTTTGAAAAGCCCATAAAATGTCATAGAAATTTCATAGTTGGCATAAACTTTTCATAGTTTCGAGTATCATAGCAGAATCATAGTAGATTCATAGTTAACGTGTATCATAATTTTTCATAAATCCAAATCGTATCCGAAGCATAAATAAAGCAAAAACATATTTAGCATCTTGGTTTTGTTCACCACTTCTGAAGTTGCAACCCGAAACGCGAAAGCGAGCAGCGCAGGTCTTTGCTTCTTCCATGGCCTTCGCTTCGACACGTGCCTCGGCTTCCCGTCAGCTCCGGTAAAACAGGAGCCTTGCTGTCAGCCACTGTAAGTCAGGGGCGAGCACGCGAGCTTTTTAAGGCCCTTCGGCTTACCGGGCTCGGAGGGAGCGGATGAGGGCGGCACAGGCCAGGCCCGGCCGGGCCCAGGCTGAGGCTGAGAAAGGCGACGTAGAAAGGGGTGCCCGCTTTCATGCGCTGGGCTCTGCTTCAGTGACTTTGCTGCGCGACGCTGGGTCCGGTTGATTTTGTGAGGGAGTACAAAGCTTCAGGGATGAGGATTTCAGACTGAGCATGAGGTGCCTGCTAATGGGAGGGATAGTGCTTCGTGCAAGGAGGGTTGAGCATACGGCTTACGATTCAAGGGTTCGATGGTTCGCCTTATAGAGAGTCTGAAGGTTCAAGGTTTCGTGTTTAGAGCATGAGATACCCAGGTTCAGGTTTCAGTAGCCAGTAGTATCTCATTGCTGGATGCTGGGTGGTGGGTGGTGTCACTTTCTACCCAAATCGCCCTAATCTCTATGCTCCGAAACTCGAAAGTGCACTACCCAGTAGTTACTAGTAGAAGTGCGCAGACCGTGCTGAACGCAAACTCGGCACTTTAGTCCGTGACGGTATCATCATCATCATCACCATCAGCATCATCATCACCATCATCATCATCATCATCATCATCACCATCGTCGTCGTCATCACTGTCGCCGTCATCGTCATCGTCATCGTCATCGTCATCGTCATCATCATCAGCATCATCATCATCATCATCACCATCGTCGTCGTCATCACCGTCGTCATCGTCGTCATCAGCATCATCAACAACATCATCATCTTCAACATCACCACCATCAATATCGTCATCATCATCAGCATCATCGTCATCATCACCATCCTCACCATCGTCGTCGTCATCACCGTCGTCATCATCGTCGTCATCACCGTGTCATCTTCATCATCACCACCATCACCACCATCATCATCATCACCATCATCACCATCATCATCATCATCATCACCATCATCATCATCATCATCATCATCATCATGGACATCATCATCGTCGTCGTCATCACCGTCGTCACGTCATCATCACCACCATCATCACCATCATGATCATCATCTGCTTTTGTAGGCATTCTTGCCCTGGTCATCGCCATCAGCTTTATTTTCAGCGCGGCCAGCGTCAGTGTCAGAATCACCAACATCATCGCCGCCGTCATCCTATTCGACATCATCCACGCCGCTGTCATCATCATCATCATCATCATCATCATCATCATTGGCGCTCAACAACCGGGTGCTCAGCTGAGGGCCAACGAAGGTTGAACGCAACCTGCGCAACCTGGACATCTAAGCCCAAAGCTCCGAAGCCTGAAGACAGAAGCCCGGAACCGGCTGAGCCCGGACAACCATCAGTTTCCTTGAAGTTCTAAACTACCGGATCTCACAGGATCATGCTCGAATGCTGTGGCAGGCAGCCTTCCTGGCTTCCATGCCTCTGCAGCCTCCGCCATGCAAACGCCTCAGCTCAGCTCGGGGGAAGAACTCGGCTGCCTAGAAGTAGGCTGTTTTTGGACTGGCCAAATGTTAGATTGTTAGATTGT